AGCTCGTTTCTTAATTAGCGCTCGCCAAGGGGGGGAGGGGTGGTCCCATGGTGGGGGCATCGAGGACAGAGCTATAAGTAAGGATATAAGTAAGGCACAGCTTTAAGCGTTAGAAAAATTATTTTAAAAAAATTAAAATTATTTAAAATTAAATTATTTTTAAAAAATCACATTTAGGCAGTTTTTATCGATGCTGGAAATATAAATAAAGCTCCTGGGTTATGGAGTGAGCGTCCAGCTTGTCCAGGGCTGGGAGGAGAGGGATGTTACGGGCTAAATCCTGCAAAAAAAACCCAAAAAAACCCCACTTTGCCTCAAAAAGCCCGACCGCCTCCATGCGGGCTCTGCGGCTGTGGCAGCCGGCGGCCGCCAGCGCACCGCTATTTTTATAAAAAGGGGGTGGCTGCAGCCCAGCCCAGAGCCCACGCGCGGCGCCGACGGAGAGAAAAGGAGCCGAGTGATTTCACTGAATTTCACTGAATTTTTTAGAGTTGGAAGGGACCATAGAGATCATCCAGTCCAACTCCCCTGCTGAAGCAGGATTGCCTAGAGCTTGTCAGAGCATGTTACTCAGGAGCATCCAGGTGGGTCTTGAAAATCTCCAAGGAAGGGGACTCCACACCCTCCCTGGGCAGCCTGTTCCAGGGCTCTGTCACCCTCACCGTGAAGAAGTTTCTCCTCATATTTGAGTGGAACCTCTTATGTTCCAACTTGTGCCCGTTGCCCCTTGTCCTCTCACTGGGAACCACTGAAAAGAGTCTGGCTCCCTCCTCCTTCAACCCACCCTTGAGATACTTATCCGCATTGATAAGGTCTCCCCTCAGCCTTCTCTTCTCCAGACTAAAGAGTCCCAGCTCTTTCCCTCATAAGGGAGATGCTCCAATCCTTGAATCATCTTTGTAGCCCTACGCTGGACTCTTTCCAGTAGTTCCCTGTCCCTTTCCAGCAGTTCCCTGTCCCTCTGGAACTGGGGAGCCCAGAACTGGAGGCAGGATTCCAGTTGTGGCCTCACCAGTGCAGAGCAGAGGGGGAGAAGGACCTCCCTTGACCTGCTGGCCACACTCTTCCCTACACAGCCCAGGATTCTGTTGGCCTTCCTGGCTACAAGAGCACACTCTTTGCTCATTGTCATTTTGTTGTCCACCAGGACCCCCAGGTGATTTCTCCCTTCAGCTCCCAGCTGAAAAATAAAAGCAGGAAAAGTCTGAGGAGCAGCAATCCCTCCGCAGGGGCCCGAGCCGGTAGCTCTGGAGATTAAAAAAGGCAGCAAAAGGTGTTGGAGGGGAGCAAAGGGCCAGCCTTTTGCCGTGGAAAAGAGGGGAAAAAAGTCCATTTGCAGCAGGAGTGAGCACTGGGGATCTTCCCCCGGGGGGTGCTGAAGGCCAAGTGTAGCTGCGGCGTGGAAGAATACAAAAATAATAATAATATTCATAATCATGAGCTTTACAGGCTCGCCTGTAACAGGAGATTGGTTAAAAATACCCAAACCCACGGTTGCCATCAAGAGATGAGTTAATTGGTGGGATCTGCCCGGGTGGTCCCCTGGCCACCACCTGCCTGGGGTGGATCGAGCCGCGGTGATGGCCGGAAAAATCTGTTGGTAAAGGCAGGAGCATCCGGAAAAAACACCACAATTTCCATCGTCACACCCTGACGCCGCGCCAGGTCTCCCGGGGGGGATCAGGCTGGGTTCCCGGGGGGGTGCCAGGCTGGGGAAGAGAGAGAAATGGGGTATGTTTGGCACCAGCCCGACTGGTCACGGGGGTGAGGAGCGGTGGCCGGGTGGGCGCTCACCCTGTGTTTGAGGTAGGAGAGGTAGGTGTCCCATCCCAGTGTGATGACGTTGACATAAACCACCCGGTACTTGGGGGGGACAAAGAGGAAATTCACCAGCTGAGCCGCCGGCCACACGCACCAGTCAGCCTGTGGGGAGTAAAAAAGCATCACAGAATCACCAAGGTTGGAAGGGACCTTGAAGATCATCCAGTCCAACCATTAAAAAAAAAAAAAACCAACCCAAAACCCCCAAACAAAACACACACCCCACCACTAAACCATATTCCCAAGCACCATGTAATTTCATCTTGAATATCTCCAGGGATGGTGCTTCAACCACCTCCCTGGGCAGCCCATTCCAACGCCTGATAACCCTTTCAGTGAAGAATTTTTTTCCTAATATCCAACCTGAACCTCCCCTGGAGCAACTTGAGGCCATTTCCTCTTGTCCCGCAGCCACATCCCCACCCGGGGAGGGAAAAGGAGCTCGGGGGTGTGTGATTTACCTTGTAAAACTCCCAAAATTTCTCCTTCAGCTCCTCCCAGCTCTCCTCCAGGGACTGGCCCTCCAGCGTGCCCATGCCTGTAGGGGACAGAGGGACACGGGTGGTTAGATGAGGCAGGTTTTCTGCTACTTGTAGGAAATATCTATAAATAAAAGACCAACAGGCAGTGAAGAACTCAGTAAAACACAATGAAGTGAAACTCCCTCTTTTTCTAACAGCAGGTGTGCACGAGGATAAAGACTATCAAGCATTTTTTTTCCCCATCATCAGGAAATTCCTGCAGAACTACTTTTCCTGGAAAAGACTGTTCTCAGGAAGCAGCCTGTTTTTCTTTTTTAATTTTTTTTTTTTTGACTTTTTATTACAGAGAAAACTCCTCTCTAGTCTTCCAGGTGAGGCTCCGCGCTGAGGAGAGCGGATGGGAATTGCCATCTCAGCTGTGTTGGGCACTAAAACTGCCCAAAAAACCCCTCCTACCGTGGGAGGGAACCCCAGGAGACCCATGTCTGCCCCACTGAGGGAGGGTGACAGTGTCACCCCCAGCACGAAAACACGTCACTGGTGGCGTGGGCAGCGCTCGATTCCCAGCGACGCCAACCCGAGGGACGGGTGCCACCACGTACCCAGGAAATACCAGACTCCCAGGGCAGGAGATGCCACCACCTGATCGATGAGGACCTTCTTGAGGACGGTTCGGAGCCCCCGCACGCCCCGCGCCGGGAAGGCGGCGTCCAGCCAGAGGTACCAGTAGTGCATGAGCGGGCCCAGGCTGCAGCCCACGGCGAACATGCGACCTGCAACACAACACCGCCGCTGCCACCCATCCATTATTGATGTGACACCCCCTTCTTAGCATCCCCCCCCCTCTTTGAAAGCAGATCTGGCTCTGGGGACAGCACAAAAGGAGCATGGCTTTGCGTGGAGCCAGACCCTCATTCCCCTCCCGCTTCTGAGGAGAAGAAGAATTTATTATCCTGGTGGATAATAAATTGTCCAGGAGCCAGCAATGTGCCCTTGTGGCCAAGAGGGACCATGGGATCCTGGGCTGTGGAGGGAAGAGTGTGGCCAGGAGGTGGAGGGAGGTCATTCTCCCCCTCTGCTCTGCACTGGGGAGGCCACAGCTGGAATCCTGCCTCCAGTTCTGGGCTCCCCAGTTCAAGAGAGACAGGGAACTGCTGGGGAGAGTCCAGCGTAGGACAACAGAGATGATTTAGGGATTGGAGCATCTCCCTGATGAGGAAAGGCTGAGAGAGCTGGGGCTCTGGAGAAGAGAAGGCTGAGGGGAGACCTTATTAATGCCTCTAAGGATCTAAAGGGTGGTTTGAGGAAGGATGGAGCCGGACTCTTCTCAGTGGTTCCCAGTGACAGGACGAGGGGCAACGGGCACAAGTTGGAACAGGGGAAGTTCCACTCAAATCTGAGGAAGAACTTCTTTGGGGTGAGGGTGGCAGAGCCCTGGCAGAGGCTGCCCAGGGAGGGTGTGGAGTCCCCTTCTCTGGAGATCTTCAAGCCCCACCTGGATGCTCCTGAGGGATGAGCTCTGGGCAACCCTGCTTTGGCCGAGGAGTTGGACTCCATGATCTCTAGAAGGTCCCATCCAACCCCGACAATTCCATGAGAACCAGCACAAATTAAACAACGTGACAGGGTGGCCTGCAACCCCACCCCACCCCACTTGTGTGTGTGTCCGTATGTCCCCTCCCCGGGGTTGTCACCTGTACGGGCCATCTGGTGCTCGGTGTCGGGGTGGCGGCGGCGGTGCCAGGCCTGCTGCAGGACGTCGCCGGTGGCCAGCAGGGCCCCGCTGCTGGCCGTGTTGGTCAGCAGGAGCAGGCGGCCGGTGAAGAGCGGCCTCAGCAGCCGCCGGCCCCGCGCCAGCATCCTGCGGGCACAGACAGTCCCCCCCCGCCCCCCCCTGCCAGCGGGGTCAGTATGGAGAGACCCCCCCCAGTCCCTCCCAGTCACCCCGTGTCCCCCCCAGTTCCCCCGCGTTAGCACTGCTGTACCTCCCCAGTTCCCCTGTACCTCCCAGTTCCCCCCAGTTCGCCCTGCTGTGCCTACCAGTTATCCCTGTACCTCCCAGTTCCCCCCAGTTTGCCCTGTTGTACGCCCCCACAGTC